AACCTAAAATGAACACACAGCAGAATAATACAGTCATTTATTTAACAAAAACAAATTTAAAAAAAATAAAAATGTAGAAGCAGTTTGTGGAAAAACTAGGTACCATCTTACTGCCTCTATAAGAGGCTAAGTACAAGCCAGATGCTGCTAATCAAATGTACTTTATGGTGGGAAGGAAGAACTCCTTTTGGTAAGTCTGTTTTATTTATAAGCATGTTTAAAAACAACACAGGTTGACCAAAGTGCTTTACAATAGAACTCAGTCACAATTAAATGCTAGTGATTAATGTGTGGTAAGACCCCCTAGGGGTCTCCAAGAGATGGTGGTTTGGCAGCCACGGGACTTGGGACACCGTGCAGTCATTGAGTCGACCATGAACTCTGAATACTAAAGTATTTTAGAGTCGAATACGAGGCCATCTAACTGATGAATCGTGGCCAAATTGAGTAATGCAGCAAAATGATCTGAAGCACAGCAGCAAATCGAAGTGTAGCAATGACATTTCAAACTCCAGACTTGCATCCAACTGAAATCCTGTCCCTGGACTGAGAGCTGTGCATGAACAAACTGTGTGTGGTAGTTGTTCACACACTGCTTCTGTTTTGGCGTAGCTTTGGTTAAATAATGACACTGTGTAATATCTCATGCTGTTGTCGTTCATCTGAGGCTGTGTTTGAATCATAAAATCTGTTAAGCACTGTGTGATGTAAAAGAGGGTAAACTTTCTAACATAATTCACACGACTCATTTAAAAATGTCACATCACACACATAAAATTTTACTGCAGTTAAAATATACAAACTTCATCACAATTGTTCCTGTAAAGTATGATCAGTGCAGAAACTCCTGTTGTACAGTAAAAATAGTTGATCTCTCATTGCTGTTAATTATGTCAGTTTGTAAAATATACTTTTTTTTTTTAACAGCACTAGTCACAAAAGTACCATCCTGAGCTTACAATTTTTAGTTTTGTCTCAAGTATGATTACAATAAAAGAAATAAAATAGATTAAAAAAAATTAAAGGTTCCATTTGGGATTCCCCCATCGACATTTATGCATAATTTGACGAGATAAGAACCTGCCAAAAAAACATCGGCAATTTGTGCAAAAAATCCCCATCCAACGTTCAACAGCCGGCTGGAGATGGAGCAAAGTAGTACTGAGCCAGGAGGATGAGGTAGACGACCACCAGAGCTGTACCTGGGAGAAAAAACACCCTAAAATAAGATTCAGGTCTTTCAGCTGCCATTAGTATCAGATCCCAGATATGCCTAAGGAGTAAACAAGAGCAACTAGAGAGCAAAACTCCTTCCGAAGGGCAAGGGCTATATCCATGATGTTTTTATTACAATATGCTAATATCAGCCTGTTGTTCCGTTATTGTAGGGATGTTGTAGGGAGTCGTATTGAATTTCATATGACTTGATATGGTTACTTTAAATTTTTTTGGCAATGATCGACTTTCAAGGTCAAACGCTTAGCCAACTAGGGTACTCCTGTCCCCCAAGGCCTAGTATATTGTTTTGAAGTTTTAAGACCATCCATAAAAAACTGGGCAGTATAAAGTTTTTATTTTTACATTTTACACATTTTTACATGCTCCCGCCCTTCAGGGGAAAAACAGCTCACTCTGGTTTTTTTGTTTTTGGTTAAAGTTTTAGATTTCAAAACAGCCGTCAGTAATGCAAAAATACAGTGCATGGACCCCTTTTATAGTCTTATGTGATGTATTTCACAAAGGGGGAGCACATTGTAAAAATTCTGTTTCTTAAATGCACATATACAGTGGGATGCAAAGGTTTGGGCAACCTCGTTAATAGTCATTATTTTCCTGTATAAATCGTTGGTTGTTACAATAAAAAATGTCAGTTAAATATATCATGTAGGAGACACACACAGTTATATTTGAGAAGTGAAATGAAGTTTATTGGATTTGCAGAAAGTGTGCAATAATTGTTTAAACAACGGCAGGTGCATAAATTTGGCCACTGTTGTCATTTTATTGATTCCAAAACCTTTAGAACTAATTATTGGAACTAGCCACCGTGGCAGCACGGTGGTTAGCACTGTTGCCGCACAGCAAGAAGGTCCTGAGTTCAATTCCACCATCAGGCCGGGGTCTTTCTGTGTGGAGTTTGCATGTTCTCCCCGTGTTTGCGTGGATTCCCTCCGGGTACTCCGGCTTCCTCCCACCGTCCAAAGACATGCAGCTTGTGGGGATAGGTTAATTGGATAATCCAAATTGCCACTAGGTGTGAATCTGCGAGTGAATGTGAGTGCGAATGGTTGTCTGTCCCTGTGTGTTGGCCCTGCGACAGACTGGCGACCTGTCCAGGGTGTACCCTGCCTCTCGCCCTATGACAGCTGGGATAGGCTCCAGCGACCCTGAAAAGGATAAGCGGAAGCGAATGGATGGATGGATATTGGAACTCAAATTGGCTTGGTAAGCTCAGTGTCCCCTGACCTACATACATAGGTGAATCTAATAATGAGAAACAGTATTTAAGGGGGTCAATTGTAAGTTTCCCTCTTTTAATTTTCAACTCTGAAATGACCTGAAAACAAAGATTGTTCACCATCATAGTTTAGGGGAAGGATACAGAAAGATGTCTCAGAGATTTAAGCTGTCTGTTTCACAGTTAGGAACACATTGAGAAAATGGAAGACCACAGGCTCAGTTCAAGTTAAGGCTCGAAGTGGCAAACCAAGAAAAATCTCAGATAGACCGAAGCGACGAATGGTGAGAACAGTCAGAGTCAACCCACAGACCAGCACCAAAGAGCTACAACATCATCTTGCAGCAGATGGAGTCACTGTGCATCGTTTAACTATTCGCGCACTTTACACAAGGAGATACTGTATGCGAGAGTGATGCAGAAGAAGCATTTTCTCTGCCCACAGCACAAACAGAGCCGCTTGAGGTATGCTAAAGCACATTTGGACAAGCCAGCTTCATTCTGGAATAAGGTGCTGTGGGCTGATGAAACTAAAATTGAGTTATTTGTGCATAACAAGGGGCGTTATGCATGGAGGAACATGGATTCCACTCAGTATCAGCAGATTCTGGAGACCAATGTCCAGGAATCAGTGACAAAGCTGAAGCTGCGCCGGGGCTGGATCTTTCAACAAGACAACGACCTGAAACACTGCTCAAAATCCACTAAGGCATTCATGCAGAGGAACAAGTACAACGTTCTGTAGTAGCCATCTCAGTCCCCAGACCTGAATATTATTGAAAATCTGTGGTGTGTGTTAAAGAGAGCTGTCCATGCTCGGAAACCATCAAACCTGAATGAACTAGAGATGTTTTGTAAAGAGGAATGGTCCGAAATACCTTCAACCACAATCCAGACTCTCATTGGAACCTACAGGAAGCGTTTAGAGGCTGTAATTTCCCCAAAAGGAGGATCTACTAAATATTGATTTCATTTCTTTTTTTGTGGTGCCCAAATTTATGCGCCTGCCGGATTTTGTTTGAACAATTATTGCACACAATCCAATAAACCCCATTTCACTTCTCAAATATCACTGTGTGTGTCTCCTATATGTTATATTTAACTGACATTTTTTATTGTAACAACCAAAGATTTATACAGGAAAATAATGACTATTAACAAGGTTGCCTAAACTTTTGCATCCCACTGTATATGATACAAGAGCCAGCTATCCACAATTTCAGCTCCAAAATCTTTTAAACTTACTAACTTTAACTTACCCTGAAAATAATCACACTTGCCATCCATGAAGATGTAGTTGACCAAGATCACACTGAAGATGCTGGCCCACAGGTGCTGGTCACTGAAAATCAACACAAATCCCACATCCTGGGAAAGGCAGAGATAGATTGTGTCTATTATAAAACACTGTAAAGCAGCAGAATGACTTGTATTTATATATGAATAAATGAAGGATTAAAATGAAGGCTTACATAGAAAGCATTAAATAGGACCAGTATTGGTATTTGTAGCATGCAGACCTGCACAGCGATACAGCTTCCCACCTCGAGGCTGGAATAAAAAAAGAAAAGTAGATACAAATGATGCTCTTCAAACTGTTCCTGTAGCTTATTGATGAGACGGGATGTACCTGAGACTGATGTTGTTCTGGAGTGCAAACTGGATCCCGTTAACAATCTCGGGGATCTCAGGAACCATAGCCAGAACGGTCACCCCGATGAAATACTGCCGGGAGAGAAGAAAACATTAAAGCTATAACATACAAACAGCCTGAGCGTGCTCAGATCCGTGTACTTACCTGAGAGATGTTTGGTTGGCTTAGTATGGGCTGAATGTGCTCGGTGGCAAGATCGGCACAAGCAGACGTGAGCACCGTAGCCAAGATGAGGATGACCAGAGACCTCCAGCGTGACCAGTGGACCACCGTCCCGTGGTGGCCACTCACTGGTGAGATTATAGTATTGTAAGTAAGCATCAAACACAGCTCACTTTTCTCTAAAATAGCAAAATGTAACATGAAATTTTTGGCTGACCTGTTAAGTGTGACTCGTTAGAGTGATTCATACCCTGTACTTCTCCTACGTGGATGTTGTAAATGTGGGAGTGCGTCTTCAGAGTGAAGAGCAGACCGATGATGTAGGCAACGGGCAGGAGGGCACACACGGTGTACACCAGAGGCCTAAAAACAAACATTGCACAATTAATGAGCAGCAAGTGCAGCAAAATGATGATGAATGAGGCCTTAATGTGTGGTTTTTAGACACAGTTTCTACAGCTTCAGATTAATTTACTCCTCTCCAGGAAGATTTGTTTCATTAGACTGGTGCAGCAGTTAGCTTTGCCACCTCACAGTGGAAGGGTCCATGGTTTGAATCTCCTGGTGGGGTCAGGACTTTCTGTGTGGAGATTGCGTGTTCTCCTCGCGTCCTGCAGAGGTGAACTGTGTAATCTAATTTGACTTTAGGTTTAGATGGGAGCCTGAACGGTTTTGCGGTTTAGGTCCCTTGACAGAGTGGGCACCTATCCATGGTGAACCCTGCCTCTACTGTTGGGTCTTCTGGGATAGAGGTCAAGAAAATGGATGGCTAGGAAAAGAGAAAAGCCCTAAAAGTAATTTAGGGAATATTTAGATTTAGCAACATAAGATATTCACTTTCAAATTACAATGTCAAAGTAATTCCCAATTATATCCATCTATACTTTTAACTGCTGGAGCCAATCCCAGTAACATTGGGAAAGAGAGACAGACACCGTCCACACCTTTGCCAATTCAGAATAACCACTCGGACTAACATGCATGTCTTTGAACTGTGAGACACAGACACAGGGATGATGCTCAGAAGCCCCGCAGCTGGCCAGCAGGTCCGAACCAGGAGCTTTCTTGTTGTGATGTAACGGTGCTCACCACTGCACCACCCAACAATGATCACTTTAATAAAAAGTTAAGTCGGTACGTTAAATTGGAGAATCCGCTTAGAACACCTCACCGGCCACTTTGATAGGTACACCTGTTTAATTGCTTATTAATTCAAATATGTAATTAGCAAAACTATGGTTGTTCCCATGGTCCAATGAGTCTCAATTTCTGCAACAACATTCGGGTGTTTCAGCTGCTAACCTTTCTTTACATCGCTTCCATTTTCCCTGCGCTCAAAGCAGACGTCATTGCTTTAGTCCAATCATTTTGCTGCCCGCCTTCTCCAGCCTGCATCCTTTTTTGTCATTCTGTTTTTTGGGTCTCATTCCTACAGGCCACTTCCTCACCATGTCCAGCTCAATATCTAAGCCTTCATCTTCATCTTCACCTATCCTCCAGGTGTCCTCTCATAATTCCTCACTGCTGGGCTTTGTTCTGCTATGATGGGACATCGGAGTCTAATTGCCAAATGGCTTAAATTAATTCTGTATCTCAAAAATCTTTTTCAGTTCTTCCAAATGATTTCTCCCTATTGAACTGAAGGAAAAAGGGGGTCCAAGCCAGTACTCACAAGGAGTAGCTAATGAAGTGTCCAGTGAGTGTATTTGCATGTATGTGTAATGATAATGTATCACCAAAGGAAGCACTGCATCATATTCCTTAGTTTTGCAGGTGATTTTTATGCTGCACATAATGTGAGCTGAACAGCTGTGAGGACGTTATTCTTGAAAATTAACTGTGCAGTTCTAAAACAAATTTTTATTAGTAGATAAATTTGAAAAATAACTTACTGGACATGGTTGTGAAACAGTGTACCATTGCTCTGTTGAAAACAACAACAACAACAACAACAATAAAAACATTGTACATGTGCAGCACAGTGCATACGGACAGGGTGTCCTCCTGGCTAATGATACCTACCAGGTCATAGTGGCAGTTGTGGCAGACAAACGGCCCGCTGCTGTTGCTTGTGCTGTTTGCCCCGGTAGAGTTGGTACAGGAGTCACACACCAAGTTCCCATAAGCCTTAGAGAAGAGCGTGGGTGCGAACACACCTGCCAATAACATTCAGAGGAGGGAAGTGAGTGTTTAACACTGTTTGTAATGTTTTTAAACTATAAGATGTTTCTGGGGAGAATAAAAACAAACTGTTCGTGCTGCTTTCAGCAAATTTGATTCATGAAGACAATCCTCTTAGACTTAGCTTGTATTCGGTGTTTTAAGGGCACCAGTTCGATGGTATTTGCATTTGATTATTTAATATCCAGAGATTATAATGGCCGACATCTGCTCCGGGTGTTACTTACTAACAAAAACAATGAAATAAAACTATCGCAGGCATAAACATTTGTTTTCTGATTGTGGCACATACATGCTATTCACATATTTTCATGTGGCAGTCTGAACTGCTTCTGCAGCCTTCTGCGTGTGCTGATTTTCAAATACGTGCCTCCTATAGAGATGAAAAGCAGCGCACAGCTCACTCCTGCAGAACGGCTGTTGAACCTTTGCTCACTGTGACGGAGACCTCCAATTATCATGCAAATGCCCTGAAAAGCAAACAAAACATGACGTCTCACTCATACATGCTTATTTAACACATTTCTCAAACCTACGCCTTGAAAATATATATAAAGTATACTGGTGCTGGCACTAACTGTGTTACTTAAAAACTGACGTACTAGCATTTTTTCTTTTTTTTGTACAGGTAGACTTTCCAACATATTTAGCCATTCATGTTGTTGTGCACAGCAGTGCAGTGCCAAAAGGCTGTAGGTAAGTCTTACCTACTAACTAACCAACTAACAAACCTAAGCTAAGCAAGCTAAACAAGATGAAGCTTGACTCACAGGAATAAAGAGGATACATCCAAGCAGTGTCCCAGTCAGCGCAGCCTTAACAACCTCCTCAAGACAGGTGTTAGCTTGCTGGTGACCTCTGAGCAGGGCTGTGATGTAAAAGGTCAGTTCTGTGATGGAACCAAAGGTGGCGTTCACCACAGCGCCCACAGCAAAGTTACTCTGAGCTGAAATGCTGCAAATGCAAAAACGAAATATAAAAATCAGAGACTCTGTTCTGCTTCTCGAGGTGTTAATGGTTAATGAAAAATACTTACCTGGCAATTCCCATGCCAATGTAATATGACAGAGGTATGATGGAGCCAATTGCTATGGTGAATTTGACATCGGAGCTGGCGTACTTGTTTTCTCTGTCAATATATCCAGTTACCAGGGCAACTATCACTAGAGGGAGGAGGTCTGAGACAGGAGTCAAGGATGATAACAGGTCTTTATATCACAGAAGGAAACACACACATTTTAGGTGTAAAAGGATACTGGCAGCAAACACATTAATCCCATCAATCGTGTACTTGTAGTAGTACCAGTTGGCAGCGTGGTAGCAACACAGTAACGCTCTGGTCTCATAGCCCTGATGCTAAAAGTGAAGAAAACCAAAGAAAATGGTGCATTAGGAACTCCCCAGGACTATGCAGTGACCAATAAACACTACGTGTCACCTGTACCTTCCTCTGTGAGCCAGCAGAGATAGACACATCCTCAGGAGGCAGCAGGAGGATGACGCCCAGAGTTCGTGCGTTCATCTTGAAAACTGGAATGGTGAAGACCAGGATCCAGGAGATGAAGCACGCCAGAGAGTGAACGACCACCAGAGGAGGATATCCCAGCAGCAGCCACACATAGGTGGCAAAACGACGCTGTACAACAAGAAGGGCACATTGTATAACGATATGTTACACCTTCAGCAAAAAATCTGCTAAACATGCAATGTATTCAGTGCTAGGTCAGTTTTACTTCTATAACCCAGTACTGCAAACTACAGCAAGCAACACCCTCTGCCCTAAATGCCAAAGTCTTACTTGTGAATTTCCGGTATCTATATAAATGTTTTTAAGTGTGAACATTTACCCAGTAAGGAGTGCGCAGAGGTCGGTCTGGCATCTCTGGGACTGGCACCTCTGTGGGTGATGGCAGCAGAAATGGTGAGTTATCTTCTTCCGCCTCCATACTGCACTCACAGTCTGGTGCGCGCTCACAGCATCGCCTCAGTGTATTTCCCATCTGGAGGAACACAACCAAAAAGATGTCTTTTACAATCATGCTTCATGTCTATTCAGTGGTTTTATTAAGGTACAACTTAACAACATGCACACATTTAAGGTATTCCTGCAGCAAAGATTCTACAATGTACTTAAAACAGTGGTGTCCAAACCCAGGCCTCAAGGGCCGGTGTCCTGCAGGTTTTAGATATGTCCTTGATCCATCACTGCTGATTTCAATGGCTATTATCTCCTCAACATGTCTTGAAGTTCTCCAGAGGCCTGGTAATAAACTAATCATTTGATTCAGGTGTGTTGACCCAGGGTAAGATCTAAAACCTGCAGGACACTGGCCCTCGAGGCCTGGAGTTGGCCAAGCCTGACTTAAAACATGCTGTAAATGAAAGAGTCAGTGGAAACATGGCATAAAATTACTGCCTACTGACCAATTAACTGCAATTAAAAAGCTTATTTTTCCATGCTGTGCATTAAATCACCAGATTAACAATTAAGCATCATCAGAGAAGAGTCAAATGACCCTTAAAACACCCTCTTTTCGATTGGTCAGATGCTGCCAACACCCTTTTATGTGAATGCGCAGGAGAAAGCCTGGGTTAACGTAACAAACTGATGACCAGCTTCATGTGACTGTTTATCCTGATTTCCAATTTTAGGGTTAAGTAAATCCAGATAACAGAAAGATACCCTGGGAATGCTGAATGAATTCGTAGTATAGGGCCCAGGTTATGTGTTCGGCATACGCTACCATGCTGATTTAAGCAGGTAATATATAAAGACAGTTTCATGACACAGAAAACTTTGACTTTAAGCTCGTTGAGCAATTAATCACAGTACATCTCTCTGTGTATGGGGAACAAATACAGATGCTGTGACACAGACTAAGAGAAGGAGAGAGAGGGGGGATTAAGGAATAACGAACAGGAGGATAACAAGCACAATCCCATACAAGTGAAGATTATCAGGAAAATTAAGGGGACTGTCGAGAAAAGTGGGACAGAGAGAGATTGAAGTTTCCCGGTTTACCTCTCATTACATCTGAGAGAGGGTGAAAAGGGTTAAAATCCGGTCTTTTCACAGTCTTCACTTTCATTTTTTGAGTGATAATTGAAACTCTTATTTTGCTAATAGTAACTTTATTCTTAATCAAAGGGATAAATCAAAGTATAAGTCTGAGAGAAATGTAGTTTGACCTGTGAAAACGTCTAGACCAGGAGTAAAACTAATCCATAAACAACAGAAAACAAACCTTCAAACAGGAAGTACCAAAACAAAAACTAAACACGGAGACAAAGATACAAAGAAGCAATGGAGGACAGGGACATAAAACAGAATAACAAGTCAGAGGAAGGAGGCGTTAGGGACACACTGAGGGAACTCACTGAGGGTGTTCAAAGTCGCCCTTGCACCCTGAACGTGTCGCAATAACAAGTTGTTGCAAATGCACTGTTGCAGACTTGTGACATCATTCAGAAAAACACGACTTCTGCTTTAATGACCACGAGTCAATGAAGAAACTACTGGATTTACTGTGAATCAGTCTGATGCCGGCTAAATGAAAAGAACCCCAGACAACAGCAGGAATATTAACTCAACCCAAACAGCACCTCGTGGATTGGGTTGCCAAACGGCCACAGGAAGTAGCAGCACAGCTTCCAGCACAGTTTACCTGAAGACAGAAACAGAGTGAAGAACAAAGGGAATTGCAGATGATCAATTATTATCATTATCTATTACCTCACCTACCATACGGTACCCCAGTAACAGTGATGAACATCAGTGTGCCAACCAGGAAATATGCCAGAGAAACCCACCAACCAAACAGGAGCAGGTAGGCTACGTTTCCACATGTGATGAAATGACCTGACAGCAGAAGGACACAGAGAATGAAAGAAGTGTTTCAGCAGAAATATCTTTACGCTTTTAGGATTTCTGAATACAATTTAACTTAAATTTCATTAATTAATGCAAAAAAGAACAGAATAAATAGACAGATTTCACTTCCAGATTATTATTATTATCAGACACTTTTTTTATTAACAATGTTACCAAAGCCTCAAAATATAATAACAAAAAATTCTATTGTCATCAGATTTAGTTCAGGTAAGGATTTGTAAGTCTTATCAGTTTCTTCATTGTTGTTACATGTAATGTGTTCAAAAGAACTTGACAGCCAGTTTTATCTTCTACAACTAATTCATATCAAAGATGGTTTCAAAGGTTTTTTTAAAGTAACATTCATAAAAGATTTTCTCAACTAAAAACTAAAACGAGGCACAAAAAATGTGTGTAAATTGGTTAAATGGTAACAACTGTCTTACTCCCTCTGACTCACTCCTCACTTTTTCCAAGGAGAATGATGCCATTTTACAATATTAAATCTGACTTGAATCTTTGATCAAATGTCATGATCCTGGGTCATTTGACCCAGCATTTTGAGGTTTCTTGTGTTTTTCTCATTTTGTATTATGTTTAAGTCCACTTTGTTAAGGGTTTATTCTATAGTACCTTGGTTACTCTGTTTAGCTTTCGTTTATTAGATTCCCACCTGTGCTTTTGCCCTCTGTGTCTCCCTCTGTGTCTTTGTGTGGTTGCTTGTGCCTTGTTTCCCCTCCTTGTGTTTTATTCCATCATGTTTATTCTATGTTTCCCCAGCTCGTTATGTCTCCTCTCTCTACCTCATGTTTCTTCGCTCCCTCTCCTCCACTCTTGCGTCATGTTCCTTCGATTCGTATTTTATTGTGAAGGTCCCATGTTTTCTTGTCTAGTTGTGTTCCCCGTGCGTTCTCACTTCCCTCGTTTTCCTTCTGTGTATTTATGTCAGCGTCTCCATCAGTTCTGTGTCGTGATCTCCCTCATAGTTGCGTGAGTTTCGCTGTGTTCCTAGTTATGTTCCCAGTATAGTTTTCTATCACTTTTTTAAATTCTCTGCAATAAAGCTGCATTTTGAGTTCATGTTTCGCCTCAGTTGAGTCTGCGTTTGGGTCCTCTCCTGCCTGCACACAGCCGATTTATGACATCAAACTTTCAAATCTATCACTATTATTATTTCTCTTATTCTAAACCGAAACGTAGGGACAAGAAAACATGTTAGTTTTAAATACATTTTTTAAATACATTTACCCTTTCATTACAGTAATTTAGCTGTAGTGTTTCTCAGCAATTATCTTTGTGCTCAACTTCAATGACCACGACAAATAATGCACGAGATTTAACAGACTGATATCATGCATCAACACAAACTTTACATAAAACAAAAACATTAACAAAACATACCTGGACCTGAATGCGGTTTTATGACATTTAGCTCAGAGTATAGTTCTTTCACAACATCTGACCGGCCTTCAAACGGCCGCTCCGTCACGTGGCTCTTCCACTTTCTAAACCCAAACTGATAAAAACGCACACACAGACAGCAATTACTCCAGTGTCCTCAACTCGGCTCACTTTCTTTTCCTGTGCAAAACTCTTCCGGTTTCTTACTCTGTAATTGTTGACCAGTTTGTTGGCTTCCACTTCATTCTCGGCTCTGATGGTTTTCTTATTTTGGCTTTCCTCCCAGCTGTCTTCGCATGCATGATGGCTCGGACCTACAATCAGAAAATAACCAAGAAATGGCTGCAAATATCTCAACAGGAGAGCTGAATATGGATATAAAGACTGGTAAACTACACTCACATGCACATGCACATGCAGCAGTGCATTTTGTTGCAGAATATAAGGAGTGTTGTGAAGATGAAGTGGAGGAGTCTGCGTGCTGAGCGCCACACAGTCGATCATGGGCCTGTTCATTACTGTAACCTAACAGAGGATCATGCTCGCTTGAAGAATCTGTAACACCAAAGAAACAAAAACTGAAAGATGTCAAAGACAGCATTCATACACCAAGTGCCATCCTTAAAAAGACCCAGACTGGAACTTAGCACGAGCTGTTTATGCCAGGTGTCCATGGGCCTGAAAAGAACATCCCATAATATATGGTAATAGGCAGCATTTTGTGTTCAATCAGGTTTTAATCAAATATATTGTTGTGGCACAGCAGTGAATTTACAATGACTTTTAGAATAATCAGACAATTTAATTTCAATTGTATTTTTATAGCACGGAATCACAACAATTTGGAATTTGGAAGTGAGCAATCTGGGAAAAAAGCAATTTCAGCAACACACGGCATTTCAGATTTTCACCCACAACCATCTCCAGATTTACAGAGAATGGTCTGAAAAAAACATCCACTGCCCAGAGATCACAGGAGAATGCAGAAAGGCAACATTATCTCAAAGAACCACTCGTTACATCTGAGCTAAGCAGAATTACAATTTGTAATTCTTGCGAACATTCAGGTACAGTTAGAATTTGGAGTAAATAACATGAAAACTATGGATCCATCCTGCTGTGTATTAATGGTTCAGTACAAACTCAGGACCCCTCAGCACCCATCACTGATGGCTGTTTCAAGCAGAATAACGCAGCATGTCACGAACAGTTAAGCTGTGCCAAACTATTCCAACACTCGCTCCTCTGAACTGATAAGACAAATAAAGACATCACATGGAAACTGTTTCAAAAATCACTAATCACCGTAACCCCAACTCTGTAAAAGACTTCAGCAAGAAAATCATCACATGAAGAAAAATCAAAATAGCATGACTCTCAATCGATTCTCCAAAGTAATTGAAACAGTAATCAGAGAAGGCCAGTTTTTAAGTATCTTGCTCCCCACTTGCACATATTGCATCTGGGTCAAAAAGTATGATGTGCATATAGAATCAGATACACTGTGTCACAGTGCACGCCAGGTTTTGAGGTTTTTGTGGTTTCATGATTTCTTTTTGCTTTTTAAAAGGGATTTATGTTTGAGCTCTTTAGTCTTTTAATGATTAGACTTTATGTGCCCCTTGTTCTTATGAGCTGTTGGTTATTCTACACCTTGAGTCCTTTGCTTAGCTTTTGTTGGCAATAGGTTACTTGCCTTTTGTGTTCCCCATTCTGTTCATTCACTCCTGTCTCCATGTGTGTGTCTTTTTTCTCGCTGTTAGTTACTTCTTGTTTTATTTTGATAGTCTCTTGCCTCATATGCTTTGTATTTAGTTCTACTTCCCTTGTCTCGTCCTCCAGGACCACAGAGTACAGGAGGATTGGAAGACAATTCTTTGCAAGATATCCCCTCATCTGTTGCTTTAATATTGGCCTTGGTGATTCTGGTGAATTCAAATGAAATATCATGTGACTGTCATCATTTTCCTACTAACTGAACCATTAAGTGACCCCCTCATGCCATACAAACAGGGGCTTTGTAAACCTGTCAGTGTAGATGAGGAGATTCTGATTTGCCTTCCCTCTATGTCCCTTCAAAAGCTGCACACAAAACGCCTCATCTCTTAAATTTTTCATTATTATTATTATTCAATGACATGATGAGACGTGTACATAGATCTCCTGAGGGGCATAAAAGGCTTTCTATCTATCTTAACTTGACCTGATTAAAGTAGCTAGATTTGTTACAGTGAAACCAGACTTGTGACAGCAATTAAAGCAAGGAAAGCGCCTGCAGCCATTCAAAAAGATACAGAAGATTGATGAATGAATGGATACATAACAAACCAGATGCATCAAAGGCAATGTGGGCACATCGGTCCTGACTTCCCTTTTTCAACAGCTCAAATTGGCTCACACACTTTTAGGTAGTCTTGTTTTGTTATCCCGGTTCTGCTTTTTTGTTGGCTTCCTTAAGTGTGTCTGCAAATACAGCAGCTGCAGCGTTATATGATGGTGTTAGTGACTGTGCATACACACAGCATCACCTCGATACACTATCGTGATTTTGTTCTTTAGTGTGCATGAGTATTTGAGAACACTCAGAATGCCTTTTAAGAAAGAAATCACCCTTGTTCCTGTGAAATCAAATACAAGTAACTAAAAATGCTGTTATCTTTAAGTGACAGAGAAGCTTGAGTAAGAATGGAAGAATTGTTTAAATATGCAGTAATGAATTAATATCTTTTCTATTTCTTTGTGTAAGCCTCTATGACGTGAAAACTGGACATTGGCTGTTGTAATATTTGGCTTTCAGGAACGTTTGTCAGGTACATATAAAGACACTGGACAGGAGGGCACTATTTATGACATATATAAGTCTATATTAATCAAAAAATTAACTGAAATATATGTTAATTAGTTGAGCGCTATCATTGATTAGTTGAGAGCACAACCGTGCAATAACTCCATAATGAGCTCCCTTAAATATCAGTGTAAACAAAGCCTACGCAGACAGAAATAAAGCGGAGACAGTTAAAATGGGGAGTGTAATAACGGTGCTGTTAGCGACACATAACAAATAAAGTTAAAAGACGCTAAATAATGAGCTCGTGCCGCTCACCTTGCGCGTGTTCAGCCGGCCTCCTCCTCCGGCTGGTCGTGTCCGGGCTCCCCGTGGACGACAGAGACATCTCCGCCGGTAAAAACACTTCACCGTTTGCTGAGTGTGTTACCGGAGCCTGACCGGATCATCTCCTCGGATGCTGCTGTCGCTGTCGCGTGGACTCACTTGATTTAATGAGTGTTATGGAGCGTGGAATTATGGGAAATGTAGGCCTCTGGCGTCTTAAAGGGAAAAGCCACAATAAAAGGCAACAACTGTTCACTTCAGCTCAGCCGAACCTTTGTTAACTGAAAAATAAAAATACAAAGTCGTCTGACTAAATAAATAAATATTTTTTTAATATATGTATATTTGTTTTTATTTCAGCTATTTAACTTTACAATAATTACATTTTGTTATTAAAAAGGCTAAGTGTGAGTGGTTTGGAGTCTTTTACCCTTCTTGAACTGTTGCTGGTACTGAAGGTGTTGCCAGTTTAGTTAATTCATTTGAAAGGACTCCCGGTGTCCGGTGCAAGTCGTGAAACAAACACTTCTTATTAATTATACTTCTTATTAATTATATAATGATGCTGGCATATTAGTGAATTAAACATTGTATTTCATAAATATCGCATGGTTTGTGTGGTATACAACGAGACTATCTTAGGTTTGTGAATCTTGGTAAAATACAGAATTCGGTGTAAATAGAAAACGAGATAAATGACAGCACTGAACTTACTAAATGTTATGAAATGCATCAAAACCCAGGTCATTAATACCAAGGACCAACAAACAGCTGTTTCTCTTTCTGTTTTTATCGCCCTTTTTCACTAAAAAGGTCAAATCCTTCAGCTTAGTTTCACTCAATATATTTCTCTTGGTTATTCATGCTCCACATCCAGTGGGCATACAAACGACCGCGGTTGCTATATCTGAAAAACAAAATAATAATAAACTGGGCCAATTTAGTTGTATATATGTGTTAAAGAGTGTAGATTTTCTAAACAACAAAACTGCACAGTTATGTGGTGCGTTTGACTTGAAAATGACTGTAGGCCAGCAGAAACACAGCAAATAGCTCCACGATATGGTCACATGTAGCTATGACATGAAGCGGTTTGTCCTGTTTTTAGGTTTTAGCAGAGGTTTCGTACTATAAGCACCAAACACACTTTTAAAATGATTACATTCTAAATCCAGACAGGAGGTTCTTTGCAAAGTCAGTGCCTTATTATCAGCTTCTTTCTTGCTACCATAAATATATCTAAATAAATTTTAAATAAATTAATTTAGAACTGTAGCACAGAAACTCCCTCACTATACTGCACACTGTCCCAGAATAGTTTAAGGATCAGACAGCTCCAGAAACTATCTGAGCTGTCCAGACTTTAGTTTTTTGGAGTTAGGAAAAAAAAAAAACCTACACAATTTTTCAATGAAAATCACTCCACATATATGGCTGTTGTAGTTATTTTGATATTTATTATAGATGTCCATTATAGAGGTGACTGCAATTGCCAATTCACATTTAGTCTTCATATAATTTATTGAACGGCCCCTCAAATTAATAATGATCCTCTATAATTATCCACTTGTGCTTTTATACATTTCAGAAATAAATGCTTAAATGAATGTCTCAGTATTATCTGATATATTTAATATGCGTCCTTTAACATTCTTGTCAAAGTGATGTTTAAGTTGGAGGTCCTGAAATAGAAATCCTGACGAGCTAGTTTGTATCTATCAGGCAAATTTTTAAATGTGTCCCCAACAGACACAGTGCTGTCAGTCCTCGTCTCCTCCACTGGATAAACCTGTTATCATTTGCAGCAGGTTTAACTAACTTAATCAGAGGAATCATGAATTTGAATTTTGGCCACATGGCCGCAACTGATAAACAAGCTTTACATTGTAGTGTAAAGTTAGAGACCTTTGCATTTCAGAAGGAAATGGTCGCACTCAGGCAGACTCAGAGTAAAGCAGTGCACACTGATTTGACTGGTGAATGAGAGACGGTGCAATCAAAAAGATCCCACAGAAAATTTGCTTAAACTCACCAGCGTGTAAAACTAGAGACTGATGATTGAAAACTCTTGCACATTTTATGTGAGCTAGGCTTAACTTTGTTGGGCACTGAATCTGGGTCAACATTATCTCCTTTTTCTCCTCTAATGGAGGCTGGTCCAGTATGGTGAAGAAGATAAGAAAGAAAGTACTGGGAAATACTGTTCCTTTACATTTAAAAACTGGCTCTCATTTCATCTACCACTTCTAGGTCATTTCACTGTTACTAAGTATGAAAACAAACTATTCAACCTCAGCTGCTGTGTTCAAGTCAAACATATTTTTCATCTATAAAGATTGCTTACTGTGAAAAGAATATTTAGCATCTTAAGAATTTTTTCTTTTGGGGGGGGGGGGGGGGATAGTTTTTAACTAAACTTTTGCATTCAAAATAAGAATCTATTATTTGACTAATCTTATGTGTAGTTTGGCATTGCATTTGGCTTAGCTTAAGATTCTGTGCATATAGCCACTGTGTTGGTCTTCACATGTCGATGTTGTGTAAATGTTCAACTGTTAGAGGAGTAAGATAAACAGCTGACAAGGTCAAATGTGAGATGTCCGGATTATTGCGTTCTGGCAAAATGAACATTTGCTGGCAAATAAAACTTGAGGCCACGCAGACCCTAAAAAGGTCTCTGTGACCCAGAGTTGGACCTGTAAATAAACTCTTTAATCTCAAACTGTGACCAGCACACTGATCTTTTATTGTAGTTTCATCTCCTTTCCCACCAATACAACTTCTTATCAAGTTTCTCAAAATTATATTACACATAACCAAAAAAAAAAATGAAGAGTAGGAGGCTGATACAACATAGGAAGGGGCTTTTGAGATCTCATGCCTACATGTAAATGTAGCAGCAAATATAAATCATTCACTTTAGAGCTCTTTGGGTAAAACTGGGATCAAACCATGGCAAAGTCCTTGTTTTCTATAGATAAGAACCTTGTTTAACAAACACACTCCAGTGGATGTACTGGGGGCAACTCAGGGTTCAGTATCTTGTCCAAGGATGCTTCAACATGCAGAATGAGGAAGTTTGGGGCACAAACCACAGACTTTCCGATTGGTAGACGACCCAGTCTGTCTTATGAGCCACATTCACCCAGTTAAGAAGTACATATGGAGACGGTGTGAAACAGCTAATGATCCAAAGCATACCACATAACCTGTAAAACATACTGGAGTCAGTGTGATGGCACTGGGACACTAGTGTTTGTTGATGATATGGCAAAGGGCAGAAGCAGCCAAATGAAGTTTTCAAAGATAGTGTCTGCCCAAATCCAGCTAAACACAGTCAAACTGATTGGGGGCTTTTCATAATACAGATGGACAATGACCCAAAACATACAGCCAAAGCAACCCAGGAGTTTATTAAAGCAATGAAGTGAAATATTCTTGAATGACACACTCAGTCACCTGATCTCAACCCAAGTGATCACGCATTTCACGTGTTGAAGACGAAACTTCAGACAGGAAGGCCTGCAAACAAACAGCAACTGAAAGCTGCTGCAGTAAAGGCCTGGCAGAGCATTAAAAAGATGGAAAACCAGCATCTGGTGATGTCCATGAGTTCAAGAATTCAGGTTGTCATTGGCTGAAACCAGAAATAAACATTTTATTTTCAGTTATTTAATTTGTCCAAATAGTTTTGAGTCCCAGAAATGACGGGATTGTGTTAAAAATGCTTTAGTTCCTCAAATTTTTATGCAGTCTTTTTTGTTCAACCCAGTGAATTAAAGCTGAAAGTCTACCATTTGACTGCATCTGAGTTGTTAAATTTAAAATTCATTGCGTTAATGTACAGAACCAAAATTAGAAAAAAAGTAGCCTCTCTCCAAATATTTATGGACTTAACTGTCACTGCGAAATCAGGCTGCACTGACATGCTATCAGTTTGGATCCATGCAGTGTTAGTTTTAAAAACATTTGGTGACAGATACAATTTGAGGCTATGAAGACCTTTAAAAGGTTTGTGTGACCCAGATTTTGGATTTGTCAACAGATATTTAAATGTTTCTGACTGTCGAAAGTTGCTAAGCTCTGATTGGTGGTTTTTTTGCCTGAGGAGGTGGGTTTATAAGAAAAAAAAACTTTAGGGTTGGTAGCAAATAAATGGTACAGCTGACTGAAACTGTGCACTTTGGAAGTGTCCAGATCAGACAGCTGAGAAACCATGGCAAAGTTCTGGAGTGCCAAATTTTTCATGGCACTAGCTTGGCTAGGCTCTTTAGCTGGGACAGAGGTGGAGGCTCAATACGTTCCACCATTCGCGCCTCCTCCGTGGCAGAAACCCCAGGATCCTCAAGTTCCACTGTACCGTCCTCCTCCGTGGCAGAAACCCCAGGACCCCCAAGTTCCACCATTTCCGCCTCCTCCTCTTCCAAAGCCCCAGAACCCTCAGATCCCTCCACCATACCGCCCTCCTCCACCGCAAGATCCTCAACAGCCTCGACCTCCTCCACTCCGCCATACAATCCTCCTCCATGGCAGAAACCCAAGGAACCTCAAGTTCCACCATATCCGCCTCCTCCTCATCCAAAGCCCCAGAACCCTCAGATCCCTCCACCATACCGACCTCCTCCACCGCAAGATCCTCAACAGCCTCGACCTCCTCCTCCACCTCCGCCATATCAGCCTCCTCCGTGGCAGATTCCCAAGAAACCACCTCCGCCTCCACCTCCACCGCACATCCCTCCTATACCACAAAATCCCCAGCAACCTCGACCACCTCCCCGGCCATTCCCTCAAGGGCAAGTCCCACCTTTTCCTCAAGTATCCGATGATTACTTTCCCCAAAAACCAAAAGTCCCACAGAATCAAAAGGTGCCTCCGACGCTGCCACCTGCTCAGAGCTGTGATGTGGAAAGAAGTGTGAGAGTCCCATGCGGAACTACTGGTATTTCAGGTGCTCAGTGTGAATCCATAAAATGCTGTTTTGATGGCAATCAGTGCTACTTTGGAAAGGCAGGTGAGGTTTCTTTGGTTTGTTTTATCTAATAAATGGCTTATATTAATTGATACAAAGCTGTTGTCAACAAAACCTTGAAGTCTGATTACACTAAAAATATTCAAGTAAAAGTGGTGTTCTTAATCTTTATGTTGTTCACAGTTTGTCAGCAACATCAAATCCTTTATCTGCCAACTTTTTTTTTATCACCAGTGACTGTCCAGTGCACTCGGGATGCCCAATTCGTTGTTGTTGTCGCCAAAGATGTTACTCTACCCCACCTTGACCTCCAGACAATCTCGCTGGCAACAGGTGGTCCTGGCTGTTCATATGTTGACTCCAATTCAGCCTTTGCCATATATCAGTTTCCTGTTACTACCTGTGGCACTACCTTTATGGTAAAACAGTGTATTCTCCTACTTTTCCACCAGTCAGGCAGGGTATATTTGTAAATATTGTTATCTTACCAACCACGTTTAACCTTTTGCAGGAGGAGCCTGGTGTAATAATCTATGAGAACAGAATGACTTCCTCATATCAGGTGGGGGTTGGGCCTCGTGGATCTATTACCCGAGACAGTCACTTTCAGTAAGTAAACATTTTAGAGTGTCCTGACATTAAATTAAAGTTTTGGACTGTGTAGCATGATATCACTTTCTTTTTCAGCTTCATCTTCCAGTGTAGGTACATCGGCACCGATGTTGAAACTGTGATTGTAGAAATCCTACCGTTACAAAATCCCCCTCTGCCAGTTTCTGCTATGGGACCCATTAATGTAGTCTTGAGGTTGGCCAATGGACGATGCCTTACAAAGGGTTGTAATGAATGTAAGTGTATTCCAACTTAAAAGAGTCCATTCGTTTGCAAGATAATGTAAAATCTTGTAATAATAATTGACGTGTCTGCTCTCACAGTGGATGTGGCCTATACTTCGTTCTATACGGAAGCAGACTACCCTGTGACCAAAGTCCTGAGGGACCCTGTGTACGTGGAGGTTCAGCTTCTCAAAAAGACAGATCCGATGCTTGTCTTGACTCTTGGTCGCTGTTGGGTAACCACAAGCCCTTTCCCTCACTCCTTCCCCCAGTGGGACATTCTGATAGACGGGTAAATAAGATACCAGTGTTCTCAGTCCTGTTTGTGACAACATGTAGAATTTTAATCAAAATGTATTTAATGCTAGATTTTTGAAGAAAAATAATTTTATTAATATTTGGGAATGAAATAAAGACATGGTTTTGATAAATCATCCAATAATCTAATAAGCTGAAAGGTTCGTCTGTAGTGGACACACAGTATATTATTTATAATCGATCTTACCCGTAGCTGGTATTGCTGAAGACAAAAAAACTGTTGGCTAGTGTTCTCTTAAATAAAATTGTTCTCCATGCACTCCATCCAGATGTCCATACCGGGATGATAATTACTTGTCCTCACTGGTACCAGTGAGTGCTAACTCTGGCCTGGACTTCCCCAGTCATTACCGGCGTTTCGTTTTCAAAATGTTCACCTTTGTGGGTTCCTCAGTAAAGGACCAGAAGGGAATGGACCCACTGCATGAAAAGGTAATTAGTACATCAGTTTGAGCAGTGTTTCTGCACTAACTAAATATTTTTCCCTTTTAACCAACACGCTTATCCTTATTCCTTCAGCTGTACATTCACTGTAGCACAGCCGTGTGTGTTAGCGGACAGTTTGTCAGCTGTGAGCCAGCATGCCACAGGACAAGTAAGATATAAATTCATAGTCTCTAAGATTCAAATGCAAAATGACCTTCAATCTGATCATGTTTCTATTTCCATGTGTAGAGAGAGATGTCGAGGCTGAAGACCAAAAGACGAATGAACCAAAGACTGTGGTTTCCTCTGGGCCACTGATCATGACTGCTCCCGAGCAGTTAACAGCTTGACCTCAAGAACTTTGCTGAGAACAACAAGTTAAAAAAAATCTGCAACATGAAACGGTTATTAGTAGTATGAAGTGGAAATTAGATTATAATGTAGGAGAAAAGAATTCAAGTGTGCTGTAGGAAGAAATATGTCTAATGATGTCATTGAGATTTATATTAAAGAAGTATTGGCTCCAACATGATGTAAATTAGTTTGTTTTTTTGCTTGTACTATACCTTTTTTACCAGTGACATTCCTAAAAAGGAGAACCAATTTCTGTAGTACCCAAGTCATGCCTTTATAATGAATCCTACATAAAATACAAAAAGTCATCTTTCCCCAACCACATCCCTTTATTTTAAGAAAATTTTTAGAAAAGATTAACAGATAACAGACACCTTCCCAAAATGATTTTGGGAAGGTGTCTGTTATCAAACAAACAAAAACAAGATATTAGATATTGGTTCACAGCAAATCTGTAAGCAGGTATATGGACCCAGAATGCAGAACTAAACTCACAATCACAGCATTATAACTGGTAAACAGGTGACAAAAACCCAAAGCTAAACAACAGATCCTGAGACATGACAGATTGGGGAGACACAGGGACGATGAGATGAACGTGGCAACATGGAGGCAGAACACATAGAGACCAGACGGACAGGACTGGGGAGATCAAAAGTAAACAGAAATTAAATAAATTTGCAACGTAATTTATGTTCCAAATTATAAACTAAGGTGAAAATTGTGCAGAAAGTTTAAAATCTTCAGAAGGATTAGCGTAATACACACTCACCAGTCACTTTGTGAGGTATACCTGTTTAACTACTCGCTAATGAAAAAATCTAATCAGCCAATGGCATGACAGCCACTCAATGCATTTAGGCAGGTGCAAGTGGTCAAGGTGGTCTGCTAAAGTTCAAACTGATCATCACAATGGAGAAGACAGATTATTTAAGAAACTTCGAATGTGGCATAGTTGATGGTTCTAAACACGCTCGTCAGAGTATTTCAGAAACTGCTGACTTACTTGGACACAAATATCTCTCAGGTTTACAGAAAATGGTTGGAAAAATCCAGTGACTACATGGAAAAATTATGAAGAGAGAGATTTGATGTCGGCTGTAACATTCAGATGCCAGTAGGATAAGATAATAAGGTGAGAGATTCTAAGGTGCTCAATCCAGTAAAGCACCTTTTGGATGTGGTTGACTGGGAGACTGTCACACATGTATGTGCAGCTGACAAATCAGCAGTAACTCCGTCATGTTATCATGTTAATACGGACCAAAATCCCGGAGTAATTTTCAGCACCTCATTGAATTTACCTTATGAAACAGCAGTTCTGATAACAACAGTGGGTCCAACCCAATACTAGCAAAGTATAGTTACTGAAGTGTATGTTATAAACTGAAAAATAAATAATAAAAATTGTGCCTTTTCAGTGTGCTTAAAAAAAAAAAACAAAAAAAAAAAACCCACGAACAAATGTGGTAAAAGAAAAATAAAATAAATGTTAAAGCCCTCTATTTAAAGTAACATTAGTAGACTACAACAAAAACATGAAGGAATAAGGCTGCTTTAAACTGTGACATGAATTTTACAAAATATATTGATGAATGTTCAGAGATGCTGGTGCAGTTCTGAATTTAAATCACAAATGTATTTATAGTGTAACGCTAGTAAATGCAATAATTTGGTCTTACATATATTAAAGCTTATTTAGTAACAGAGGAAACAGAAAACAAATGACTTTCAGATATTTTATTACAAAAAAAAATTCTAAGTATATATTTGCCATGTTTGAAAAGGCTTCTAACAATCTGTAACACTGATCATACAAAAGCTGTGGAACCTCAGTTCTCCATGATACAAAGCCTGAAAGCTACTTAACTGGAGCTCAAAGGTATGCACTTTCACAGGTTTTCAGCTTAAAATGTACACTTGAAACTGAGAATGTAATTCCAAGAAATCCAGCTGTCAGAGTTTTACCACACAGCAGTAAACAAAGTAACAAACAAAAAACAAACAAAGCACTGATGAAAACTTTACTGGACTGCAGACAGTGTGTGGAAAAATTTTAAATAACAGAAGTAGTGAATGTATGACACAGGAAAAGGTTTCATTGCAATTAACAAGCTCTGAATTTTAGACTTTAATGCTGTATTTATTATAATAAATCAGGATCGGTATGACAAGAACCCACCAATGAAATATCAACAACCAGCAATGACTTTTACAGGTCTGATATATCTTTGATTAGACATACCTTCTGATTTGTGAACAACTGAGTAAATGAAAGGACATGAAGGAAACCTAAGAATTTCCACATAAAGTAACAGTGTTTGCCAGTTAACAGTAAAATATGAATAAACACATCATCACAGATCGCTGATTGTCTGGCAAGTAAATTTGACTTCATAAGTGCTGGTTTTCCTCCCGTACAAAAGTTACTAATGGAAGCAGTGTAGCGGACCATCACTGAACATCATACGAACATTTTATTGGCACAGCCGAAAGGTCTGGTGTTTGCATTTAACAGCAGCAGTGGAGTGTTTATTATGCCGCTCTATACAAAAAAAGACATTTCATTTTATGGATGTAGGTTTTACCAACAAACACACACATGAAACTAAACAAAACAAAACCAACAGCAAAACGTGCACACTGAACTTCTGAGTCCCACGTTGCTCTTTTCCTGCTCAACAGTGCTGAATCAGGTGAAACGCCGTGCCAGCGTTACCACTCAGCTGAGCGTCTCTGCATCAGTCAGACTTGTCCTTCTTTTTGCCTCCCCCTATAGGAACTTTGCTGGCTACTGCGGAGCCGACAGCAGTTACTCCTCCAGCAACAGCACACACTCCCCCTTTAACCAGTCCTACTCCCATCACAGGCACGGCGACTACGGAGGTGACAGCAGTTTTGGTGAGGTCCAGACCCTTTCCTCCTATCCAGGTCACACCGCCTACTGTTGCTCCCAAAGCTCCCTTGGTGGCACCGTATAAGCCCCCCGCCAATCTGCCGAACATGCCCGGCTGAGCCACTGGATGGTCCTTGTTGTCTGATTAAAAACATCAAAAATATCATCTTACTTTTTTTTTTTTTTTTAAATCCTCTGAGCCATCCTGAACTATATTATACAAAATAACACTTCACCCACAGCAACAATTCTTGCTTCACATATAAATCTAAATTATTTGTGACATAATTGCACTAGGGCTGCCACAAACGATTATTTTGATAGTCGACTAGTCACCGATTAGTCGACTAATCAGGTCATGCATCCATTGGACGTAAAACGTACAGCTTATTGCACCAGCATGCATTTGCGCTTATATAACTATCATTAGTTTACAGCTTTAAGTGTTTAAGATATGTGCCAACTAAAAATAAAGACAAGATGATAGTTTATTACATTTTAATGAAATTTGCAGATTGTTCGGTGAAGTTTAACAAACTCAGCAGTCTGCTCCTTGCTATCTAAAGTATAACAGGACACCGGAGTATATTCTCGAGCATCTCACACTTCTGATAATCAGTTGTCTGCTTGACGTTATTCAGCTGTGTAAAAACTATAACTTTAATCTCAGCCAAACAGATTTACTCAGGAACAAATAAAATACTGATAAAAGCCAAACAATAAGATTTTTAACTTATCTAAGTGACTTCCATATATTTAACCTGAGTAGCGAAAGACTGCTAACTAAAAATAAAGACAAGATAGTTTATTAAATTTTTATGAAATTTGCAGATTGTTTCGGTGAAGTTTAATAAACTCCTTGCTATCTAAAATATAACAGGACACCGGAGTATATTCTCGAGTGTCTCACACTTCTGATAACCAGTTGTCTGCTTGACGTTTATTCAGCTGTGTAAAAACTATAACTTTAATCTCAGGAACAAATAAAATACTAAAAAAGCCAAACAATAACATTTTTAAGTTATCTAAGTGACTTATGTATGTTTAACCTGAGTAGTGAAAGACAGCGGTGGGTTTCGAAAACGATTTGCCGGTGTTCTCACGGGCTCCAGTGAGCCTTGCCCCCGGCTCGCTATCGAGCTAGTGGGTAACAGATGTCTCCGAAAACGTCGGAGCGCTTTTGAAAATATGTGGTGTCTTGATAAACTGAGCAGATATTTGAGGTTTACACAGCTACATTCTCGCCTGAAAATATGTTAAACGTTTATTTTGTGACCCAGAAAGAATAATAAGAGTAATATTAAAACTAACTAGCTGCCGCCATTGTTGGAAACTGAGCTGGGCTGCGCTATGAATTCTGGGACACAGCTTCTTCTTCTTCGGGGTTTAACGGCAGCTGGCATCCTTGTACATGCAGTGCTGCCATCTTCTGTTTCAGTCCGTTATTACACTCTTAAATCCTGCTACTTATTCCTGCGGCTTTTGTGATCTTACAAAGCTTCAAACGACACGTCGACTATCCGGTTGTTCAGTCTGACGTCACTAGCCGTGTCTGGGTCTAAACTCCGCTGCAGGTCCATATATCAAACGATCACTATGGCATTACTGAGAGTTGAAAAACTGTCTAAAGTCTTTCATCTTTAATAAAATGATCAGCGTTCTGCTCTACCAGGTGTAACAATTGAGTTTAACATCCAGGCATCCATGAAAACGGAATTTATGACATTTAACGGAGTTAGAAGTTAGCAGGGAGTTAGCTCGCTAGCTTCTATCTAAATACAATATAGCATGTCCTGACTGCGGGGTTTTGGAAACAAATTAAATCGTACAGCTCTACTATCACTTCCAGCATAAATGTGGCCCTGGGCAAGAAACTGAGCCCCAAATTGCCCCAATGCATCTGCTGGAGTCTCTGTGCGTGTGCTTGTGCATGTCTTTGCGTGCGTGCGTGCGCTTGCACGTGTGTGACTGTTACAAAAGCTCTTGAAGGCATGTGACAAAAAATGCAGTGTGTGTGTGTGTGTGTGTGTGTGTGTGTGTGTGTCTTTCAGTGAAAAGTGCCTTGAGTGCTCAGTTAAGAGTATAACAGTTCCATTCTACCCCAAGTACCAGTCCTACTTGGGGTAAAAATTGCAATAAAATTTCTGATGAAATTTTAAAAAAGAAAAGAAAAAGAAAGGTGAACATTTTACTGACGCTTACATCCAGCAGAATTTATAAGTATAAGTAAATAAAAGGCATTTTCCATTCTTCTTTTCCAACGAGCTAGTATAGTTAATGACACACTTCCTAATTTAAAATGTAAATCTACTGAAACAAGTTGGCACAAGCAGCAGCAGCAGCAGCACTATAGCAGTGACACGACATTGTATTCAGTGACAGAGCAGAAGACAAATTTTAGCCCAAATTTAGCCTAGGTTGTGCTTTTCACTGGAAATTCAAAGCAAATAGCTAATAATAACAAACAAATACTAAAGTAATGTAACCTTATAACTCTTTAGGACCTGCACAAATATGTCACATGATAAAAAAATAAATGAAAACTGAAGTATTTTCTATACGTGGGATGAACCAGCTGTTTCAAAACCTGCTATTTCACCATGTAACAACATCAGTAATTTCCATCTACTGATTGCTTTTCCTGTCATATGAAGTGCAACTAGCAAGGCTCAGTGGAGTCATATGTTGACATTTGGGTCACACATCCACAGGTGTTAGCATCTCCTCTTTCATAATCTGGCTGAACTCAACGGTGTGTTTTTGCCTCAAGTGGTGAAAGAAGTTTGTTGTTGCCAGCTTTAGCAGAAACTGCTTTCTTGCATATTTTGCAAAGTACTGTGATATTTTAGAGGCGGTTGGAGTACCTCCCTTCATAGGTACTAAATTGTCACTGGAGGCTAAAAGGAAGCTCTTGCTCTCACGCATCCCTGGCTAGTCTCTTTGCGAGTACCAAGAAACATAGAAAATATATCGTAACATGATATCTTTATCTATTTTAAAAATTTGTACCACTGTTATTGCCGACAATATCAATGATATCGCACAGCCCTACCTGTGTTTCTGTAAAAGTAACCGCTGTTCAAGATTTATTAGATAAAAGTCCAATACAAAGAGTTGGACTTTGGCAGAGTAATGGTGACGCACCAACAAGAGTATAAATGTAGACAACACTGTTGCCCAGTACAGCAATGCTATTATAGAAAACATGTTGGCGGTGTGGAACAGCCATTACGACTTTCCCCCTTCATACAGGATATTTAATTATAACATTTCCCAGTTTTGACAAACTGTAGCAAAAGCACATGAGGATTTCAAACAGAGCAGTTAAAATCTCTTTGTTGTATACAGGCTACCCTGTGAACACCCGCTAATCAAATTTTAATAAAATTACAGTGCCCTTAATAGCTGATTCCGGGAGAAACAGCTAATCACTGTGGTAAAAACAGTCCTAATTACATATAATTTCCCCCACATGTACATCTTTAACCAAACAGTGTGCTACTATGCTAAGCTTAAAAGACGTGTTAGCATACGTCAAAGGAGGTGTCCCGCTATACTTACCTGCAGCTGCTGGCTCATCTTCATGGCATGCAGGCATGTCCGAAGGCGCCTGCTCTGCCTGACTCATCTCTCTGGGAAAATAAGTGACACAATTACCAACATGTCACACAGCAACGCAGATATGAAGTGTACTGAACTACAGCTAAACAGAGACTGCCTTAACTTGAAAATCCCACTGAAACTATTGAAGGTTATCTTGTTACTGACTGAAGTGTTTCCGTGCATGTTGAAGCACGTTTAGCTGCAATGCTGAATGTGATAAGTTGCTGTATTTTCAGTTTATGTCCTTAACATTATGAACAACAAAGTACATAGTGCAAAACTGCTCCACCACAGACACGTTGGTGTAAGTTTTGACGTCTGTGACAATGTTTTGAGCTTACTGAAAGCCTTTCTTCCAAATAAAATATGTATGTATGTAAGACAGCCTACAAAGAGAGCTTTAACTTACAACGTCAGTGTAAATAACTGGGCTGCTGGATGCACAATGTGTACAGAAAATAAAGGAGCTTGCTTTGGGCGTGCTCCGTATCCTTAAAACAAGGCGGACCTGTTCAGGTGTTTCTCACAGAGCAGGTTAAAAAAAAAAAAAAAAGCACAAAGAGATAAAATATGAACTGTGTACACCTTCACTCCAAATCACTCCAATTCTATTGTTGAATTCGTTAGTTAATTTGTGCACAACTACTTAAAGCATTTTCATGTCTGCACAAGCCTATTTCAGAACAGACGTTGGCCAAAACAACAAACATAATAAATAAAGGGCCATTTCAAAAACAGACCATTAAGAACTTATAAAAACCTGCTCAAAAGACATCTTCTTTAAATGGGTTGTAAACATAACGACGGACAACGGTTGAAAGCTGTCGTGGAAACAACTCTGTGTAGGGTTCAAACAGATCGAGCTCTACGTGCAAAATGCGACAGTAACTTCCAGTCAGTACTCGAAGAGTACGCTAACTTGTATTACTAACCTTTATAACCGTCATAGTTGTGTGACTTATACGCGGAGCCTGAACGTCACGCGCTGATTAATGTTATTTTGTAGAATCTTCTAGCTCAAACGTCACATCTCTCCCCAGGGAAACGCCACTTTCAGCAGCTTTCTCCCGCTAATAGTCGACAGTGCGTCGTCATTTCTAAACTAGCCGTCCCGTATAAAGTAAGGGTCTGCGGTGTTTTCGCTCGGGAGTTGTTTTAAGGAAATATGGCTGAGGTGTTTTCCTTTTCCTTTTTTTCTTTTCAAAAGTGACGCTCGTGCTTCTGCTGAAGTTTTCATGGCTGACTGTCATCAAACAAACTGAATCCCAAACAGCTAACCCAACACTTACCTTGCGCGAGCGTACAGCTAGCAAAGAGAGCGACCCACTTTTGGGGGAAGGCTGTGTTCTTTAAAAAAAATGACCACAGTTATTTCTAAAATGACCAAAATCCTCAACAATGAAGCTGCTGATGGCGAAGCGGGCTTGTGTTGTCTGTCTGACTCTTTTTTTTTGGAGGAGGAGGACCTCAGTCTCCACCCATAAAAAAACAGACTTGTTTGCAGATGGATCCCCAGCTGCTGCTCCGTGTTAGAAAAACACACGGCTCACAAGTACTGGATCTAAAATTAGACTGTTCCTGTTTATAATTTTAGTCCACTTTTTGACATGTTTCCGAAATTAATTAGCATAATTTCATAATGCAGTGAGGCCCTTACGTTTAAGAACCTAAACAGTCTTTTCCGATTATATCTAAACGGTTAAGAAGTGTACAGGGGGTTGTTTTCACATTTAAAAAATGTTTTTATTTTGGATATGATTGGGAACACCGTATTTCGAAATATACATTTATATGTAGTAGAAACAATGGGTTTAAATAATACGCAGCCTCAAAACACAACCAGACTTTGGTGGGATGGGACACGGACATAAACACCTCGAGACCGCCTCCTCCCTTCGAGGCGGAAGTGACGTACATGTTTAGGTTTACCAGAGATCGTCTATCTTAAATAGATGGTCACGTCTCACCTGAAAACAAATGCAACCTCTGTGCGTAAAGGCATAAAGGTGAAAGGTGGTATGAAATATGATAATAAGCTATTCATTTTAGAAATATACACATTAAAAACTTAGTATCAACCGAACTGAAGTGAATAAGGGTATAGGTCCTGTATTTTAAATCTTGTCACAGAGTTTGTGAAAGTTATCCAAACATTTATCGCAACATTAAGATAAGAGTAGTCCAGGGGTAGGCAACTCCAGGCCTCGTGTGCCCTGCAGATTTTAGACATCACCCCGTTTCAACACACCTGAATCAAATGGTCATTCCCAGGCCTCTGGAGAATGTCAAGACATTTTGGGGAGGTAATTTAGCCATTTAAATCAGCTGTGTTGGATCAAGGACACATCTAAAACCTGCAGGACTCGAGGCCTGGAGTTGCCTACCCCTGGAGTAGTCTAATCCACACTCGGTCAAAAGTACACATACAGGCTTGCATATTCATAGACCTTCACTAATACTTGGTTAAGTCTCCTTTAGCAAGTTGCACCTTGACCAGATGCTTTTGGTAGCCATCAAAAAGCTTTGGTTACAGCTTCTGTTGGATATTTGTTCACTCTTCATTTCACGCTTGGTAGTTAATTGAAATTTGTTGGTTTGATACATGGACCTAACTTTCAGGTGTAGTCTGCACATTTTCAATAGAGTTATGGTTTGGAAAGGTTTGGAAAGATGTTTATAGCAGCTTAATGTTTGCCTGCATTTTCCACTCCAAAACCAGTTTTGATGTGTCTTTGTGATCATTGTCCATTTGAAACACCCAATTTTGTCCAAGTTTCAACTATCAAGCTGTTGATTTGAGGTAAACTTGAAGAATTTAAAGGGAGTTCTCCTTTATTATTCTGTCCATTTTCTGTAATGTACCAGTACCCCTGGTAGCAAAATAGCTGCAAACAACATGCTACCACCACTATGCTTGACAGCTGGTACAGACTTTGCAGATTTAAAAGCCTCACCTTTACTCCACTAAACATTCCTCTTGTCATTGTGGCCAAAGAGCTCAGATTTTTCCTTGTCTGACCATAAAACTTTTCTTCAGAGCATGGACAGCTGTAAATTTCAGTCAAGCTTGAAGATGTTGATTCTAGAGCAGGGGATTGTTTCTTGACTGACAAAATCTTGTTCCATAGTGATGCAAAATTCACTTAATTGTGGGCAGAGGACATTGATGTTTCAGCAGTTTCCAGGTCATGGCAGGTTTGAGCCTCGGTGGCTGCTGGGTTGTTCCTAAACTTTTCCTGTCGTCTGAGGGTAACAGTTTGGCTCTTTTCCAGACATTACAAACAGATGACAGATCTGAATATCTTGTCATGGCCTTGTCTTGCCAGAACAAGATGTTTAAATTGTTGATCTTGAATTAATGATCTTGTAATCTATTTAGAAATGGCTCCAAGAGACTTTCCCAACTTGTATAAATCTATAATTATCCTTCTTAGATCTTAATTGAGTTCCTTGGACTTTCCCATTTTTCTGCGTATCGATCAATCCAATGAGTGCTGTCAAACACAGCCTTTCTATGTTGGCAAAGAGAAACTACTGTTGTAGTCAGTCATGATAGTTTTTATATTTACAAAATGTTTAGTTTTGGTTCATTTTTTAAATTAATTTCTATTTTTTTAAAATTTCTTTTAACTATTATAGTACTATAATATGGGGGTTTAATCAGGGCCAAGTTTGTTTGTTTTTTTTGCTTGTGTCTTTACTGGTCTTGTCACATGTTTGTGAGCACAGGCTAAATAAAGGAAACATCTCTCTGTATGATATCAGCAAATCAAGCTACAGCCTCCAAAAAGATTACAAACACCTCTTTGAACATCCAAAATGTATCGCTGGGTGACTTTTAGACCTACTATTAATTTGAATAGGACTTTACCGGAAACGTGGTGTCACGTGACTCCTGTTCAGTTTCCCGCCTGTATTCGTACACAGTAATTTAGTACCCGGAAACGGCAGCAGAGTGACAGCTCGCTCTGTAAAAACTTCCCGTTCAGGCTGCGTGCAACCTCACTGTATGGCTTTGAGAAGAAGGAGACACCCTTAATACAGTTTAAACAGCTGTTTGTTTGGCTGCCGCAGCTGGAGGGCTACGCTTTAACATTTTACGGGAAGCTCGAAAGTTTTCGTTTATTTTTTTGGATGTAAAACATCACGAGTGGCTCAACAAAAGTCTGCAGTGTGTCGTCGTCGTCTGCTCGTCATTCAGAACCTCTGCCGTCTGGAAAGACACAGGTAGCTAATGACATGCAAATGAAATGAAAGCCCTCTTATAACCTTTCAGTGGCATTACTGTTAGTGCTACCACTGCACTTCCATCTTTTAATATCAATTTCCATGGTTTCCTGCAGAATGAAGCGAAATGACGTCAAATTGGTTTTAGGGAAAGCTTTTTTTTTTTTTTTTTTTTTTTTTTACTAAATGGATCCACATACAGTTTCATGAAACGAGTCCATGGGCCCTTCAAGTGAATTAAAACCCCACATTTTCAGTGTGATCTGACGTAGTTTGCACTTATGCTAAGTCGAAGAAAGGGCTGATTTTCCTCTCTGAGAGAGTGGTAGGCCTATCTAGATGTCTGCTTCCAAAATGTGGAAAGTTTCACGCTAACATGTCTCCCCCATCATTTTAGTGACAGTGTAAAGATTTTCTGAGCTACAAGCATTCAAAATACATCGGGGTTTGTCCAGAAAAAGCAAATCAACACCTGTGACAGAGAAACCGAAATAAGCATTGGCACCCTGGATGTTATATGTGCTTTTATTACAGCTCAACTGTTGTTGGTGTAAATCAGGCCTCCCTTTCACACCTTTAGTTGGTCCAAAATGCTGCTGTTCACCTTCTTAACAGAAAACATAAGATGCAACATATTCCTCTGATCTGGCCTCTCTTCAGTAGCTTCCCCTGCATCTTAGGATTGATTTTAAGATTTATTTTTTGCGTTGAACCCACCATATATTGCTTATCTCTTAACACCTTATGTGCCTCCAATCAGAATCAGAAAGGGTTTTATTGCCAAATGTTGAGCAGGTTTACAACATTAGGAAATTGCTGCGGTGCTTCAGTGCAAACATACTGTCATAAATTACGCTAAAATAGACATGAAAATGAAAATAAGAATTAAAAGTGCTACGTAGATAGATATATACATGAGTGCAGGTGGTGATCAGTGCCAAACATGGAATGATGCAGTGAACACAG